AATTTCATTCTAATTAGAGTGTGTATGAAGAACATAGGAGGCAGTGAAATATTTCAGTTCTGGTGGCTTTTTTTTTTTTTTTTTAAGTTGTGGTGAAATATATTTTTCATGGAAAGTAATGTGAATAAGAAAGAAAATCTGCTTGGTTGGTCCGAAATCCTTCTTGTAATGTCCATGCTTCCAATTCCCAAATTCACTTTGCCAGTTTTATATATGTATTTTCTTTTTTTCCTATTTATTTATTTTTAATTGAATTTATTGGGCTGACATTGGTTAATAAAATTATATAAGTCTCAGGTGTACAATTCTATAACACATCATCTGTATATTGCATCGTGTGCTCACCACCCCAAGTCACGTCTCCTTCCATCCCCATCTATCCCCCCTTTACCCTCTTCTGCTCCCCCCTTTCCCTCTGGCTATCTCCATGCTGTTCCCTGTGTCTGTGAGTTGTGTGGGCTCTTTTATTTGCTTAATCCCTTCACCTTTTCACCCAGCCCCCCAGCCTCCCGTCTGGTGGCTTACTCTTTGTGACTTTGTCTCACCCAGTCTTAGCTCCCTTGCTGGTGTGGAGCCTTCCGTAGGGGATATATTTTGCAGGAAGGGGACATTCCCTGCCCTTGTGGCACACTAGCCCTTAGAAATGCACTCTTCTCCAAGCCCTCCCATCCCCTCCTCAATTCAGAGAAAGCCGAGGGTGTCTCAGCCTCCCGGAGATTTCCTCTGTTTGGGTTGGAGTTCAGCCCTGGATGTGAGCATCTTGATGTTGTAATATCCTGTGTAACATTTGATGGGTGGAGAGCGAGGGAGGGATTCAGAGAAAAGAAGCTGCACTAGACTAGAGGCCAAGAGGCCTGAAATCTGGGGCTACTTTTCTGGGCGGCTGCTGGGCTGAACTGGAACCGTGACTACTTGGCATTTATAGTGTTCTTTATAGTCAAAAGTATCAACAGACATTTTTAACAGTTCATTTCCACAGTAGGGCCATGAGTACTTAAGCGTCTTTTAGACATGTGTTCAATTAATTCCAACAAGTACGGATCAAGCATAGGCTGTGTGGTGAGGTACAGTCCCAGTAACTGGGACTATGCAAAAGAAATAGCACCTGGCACCCGGCCAGCGAGGCTCAGCTTTGAGCGTTGGCCTAGGATACAGGAGATCGAGGTTCGATCCCCCGTCAGGGCACGGGCTCGATCCCAGTAGGGGGTGTGCAGGAGGCAGCCGATCAATGACTCTCTCATTATTGATGTTTCTCTCTCTCCCTCTTCCTTTCTCTCTCTGAAATCAATAAAGATATATATATATTTTAAAAAGAAATAGCAGCTGGTAACCAAGAGTCTCTTTTTTCTTCCAGTTACATGAGGGGAGGAAGAGTCCTTTTAGAAAAGGATGGTGTTTTATATAAGTTCCAGATCCCCTCACCCCTCCACCCTCTCAGGAATATTGTTTATTGTTATATAAATGATCCTCTTGCGCTCCTCTAGTTTTAATCTTTAGCTTTCTGCTTCATCTTTTGTATAGATATTCAAAATTACCAAGAACAGTCTCTTAACAGGTGCAACAAATAAATGTTTGTTGAATAACTTGAATATTCAATAGTTCTCTACCCCGGGCTTCACATTGAAATCAGCAGGGAATAGATATACGCGGGCATATACACACAAACACGTGTATGTGTTTGTAAACATCTGGGCCACATTCCCCAAAATATTGATTTGATTTTCTTGGGAGTGAGTCCTGCGCATTGGCATTTTTGGTAGCGCCCAATGTGATTCTAGTGTGCAGCTGTGGTTGTAAACCATAGTATCTCCTATCTTTAAACAAACAGCTCATTGACCTCATATTTCCATCTAGCTAAAGCTGTTTATTAATTCTCCATCCCATCCAAGATCATGGCAAAGAGGCTGGTGAACATTCTCTCTGCCTCAGCTCTCACCCTTCTACTCAGGCAGTCTTCCATCCCCACCACTTCCCTAAAGCCAATCACGATAATGACATCCATGTTCCTAAACCCACTGAGCACCTTCCTCATGCTCTCTGGCACTGGGCAGAGTGGACCTCTCTCCTTGGACACTTTCTTACCGTGACTTTCAGACTCCTATCCCCTCTTTTCTTCCTTCTTCCTCTGATTCTCCTTCCTCCTCCTTTGCCATCTCATTTTCTTATCTGACCCCTAAATGCTGAAATTGTTCAAACTCTAAACCAGGGTCCTTTGTTTCTACTTACAGTAGGCTCTTTTGTGTGTGTGTGTCAATTTCCATCTCTGTAAATAACATACTTATGGTGTGGACCTCCTAATTGACATATCTAATCCTACTCCCTGTTTTATTCAACGGACTAAAAACGCCAACTGCTACTTGACGTGTCTCTCAGGTGTTTCTGACTCTTCCTGTCTCAGTTTGATACTTTAATTTTCCCTCTCCTCTGTTGGATCCCCCACTAATCACCCCATTTCAGTAAATCACATCTCTACCCACCCAGTGGCTTATGCCAAGAAAGAACAGTCATAACCCATGTCCTCTATAGCTCCCTTACTTCCAACCAAGTCGATCCATTACCAACCCTATTAATTAAAAGTATAATTCAAATCATCCATCTCATTTCATTCACTTCATTGCCAGCTGCCACTTGCCTCTGTGTTACCTTGCTGATTCCATTCTTTCTGCCCACTTTCTCTACAGCCATTCAATCTTTAGCAGAAGCCAGTTGGAGTGACCGTTTAAGAAATGTTGATCATTTCATGCAACTGCTTCTTACGACTTTCAATAATAAACAAAAGTGAGATTCTATGCTCTCACTTTCTTTCAAAGGAGACATGCCATTTTGTCATTATAGACTCAGTTATATGGTTATTTGTTTTATGTCCATCCGCCAACTCAACTCTATGCTGTATAAGGATGGGTGCTGGAGCTAGAGTGTTCACTATTTATACCCTGTATAAATTTATACCCTGTGCCTGGCCAGGTGCCTGACGTGGAGCTTCGTTACTGGATGAAAGAATGAGCTTGGGCATGGATGAGCAAGGCTGGCTACAGCGGGAGGTGGAAGGGAGTGCCTGACGCAGCCAGTTCCGCTGGGAGCTCAGCCGCTCCATTACCAAATGCACTGACTGAACCAGCTGGGCTGAATTCTTTCATGGAATTGTTTCATGTCGTGCCCTGACTTCAGAATCCAAGGATGTTCAAGAGCTGCATTCTCTCATTGGCGGACCTCAGGGGCCAGTAGAAATGATTTGCAAAGTGAGAGTATGGAGCGGTTCATTGTGTAGTATAGTCGAGAAGGGGATAGGCAGACTTGGCTTCAAATCCGGACCTGCCAGTTAGGCAGCTTGTGATTTGTGTCCCCTCCCCAGAGCCTCAGTTTCTTCATGTACACACATGAAGGGACACGAGGACAATAGTACCTGAAGCTATTAGAGTTTCACCAGGTGTCAACCACCCAGCACGGATTCTGGCACCTGGGAGAAAACATCCATATTTCAGTTGAATTTCCCGCCCCCCAGCTCTAACGCCTGGCTGACCCTGTTCCCTTTCCCCTTTCGCTCCTGCCTTTTTTCGCCTGCCTCACTCAGCTTAGTGGGTGGTACTACTCATGTTACTCACATAGTTTGAATTTCGTGGGAAGAGAATTGCTCGTGCTTCCAGAGAGCCTTTCTTTTGGATTAGAAACACCAACTTCACAGCTACCCTGCCCAGCTTTTCAAGAGCATTTTATGGGAGACTGCTGGGTAACAAGTTCATTTTAGGATAACATGCTGGGAGGAGAAAAGAAGAAGGCATTCGAGGGGAGAAAATCAAAAAGTTAATTAAAAGAAACAATTTGGTAATTGAATTCTCTTGCACATTTCTTTACTTATTTGGAGGGGGGTCCCAGTGCATGGTTAGTAGGTTTGCCTTTGCAGCTCACCTCAAAACTTCTAAATGAGACAAGTAAAAGAGTGCAGAGCCAATCCCTGCCTCATAGATGAGAAGAGGTGTAGGTTACACACGGTGAGCTTTTTAGATGTGCCAACAAAAGCTGCCCGCTTGCTCAATCCTGAATATTTTTATTTTTAAATATTCTTGGCAGCTTATATTACTGTTAGGCTAAGTCCTGGACTCATATCAGCTATTTTATGGGCATGCAAAATCCCTTTTGCATTTAGTCTGTTTTACTAGCTATTTCTTTGGCCTCACTCTGTCTCTCTGTACATACACACACGCAGACACACACACGCGCACACAGGCACACAATCAATAAAAAGTAAAGGCAACTCTTGTCGTTTTCAGATTGTACTCCAGTTACAAGTGGCATGGGTGTGTTTACTTATTTTAAAATGTGTTCTTTATTTTTAGAAGAAGTTTGAATATTTATGTCATTATTCTTTATCACAGATCACTTTAAAATCAAAATAATTTATTTAAGATGTGATTGAAAGAGATAAGGTCCTGTAATGAATTAACAGGGGCTTTGGAATCAACTGGAGCTAGGTTCAAACCCTAACTCTCATTAACAACCTTTATTAACTCACATAGTCAAATTCTATTGATTGAATGCCTACTGTGAGCCAGGTACTCTTGAGGCTGCTGGTGATCTCTTTAGGCAAGTTCTAGTATGGCTTTTATTAACATCAACTTTTTTTGAGGTTTTGAAAATTAGCTTTAGAGAGAAATTTTAAAAGAAAATATTTTTCAGTATGTTGTGGCCCTCATTCTTGCAGCAAATCCATTGAGGAAAGGAGAACAGGGTTAAAGAATGTATTATCACCTTACTCACCAATTTAGTCTAAATCAGGTTGCCAACTGCACACACACCCTCCAAAGCAGTCTCTAGAATGTAAGATATAACTCTTTTATTTTCGATGATATTGTAATTTTCCAGACATGCTAAGGACTATAGATTGAGAGCCTTTATGTTCAACCAGGGTCACGAATGCAAGTGTGACTTTGAACAATCATTCCTTCTGTGTGGTCAGATGCAGCTACTTGTAAGTGCTAACAAGAGGCTTTGTGTCTTCCCAGGTTACGGTTTTGTGGATTTTGACAGTCCCGCAGCTGCACAGAAAGCGGTAGCATCTCTCAAGGCAAATGGCGTGCAGGCGCAGATGGCCAAGGTAAGACTGGTGTTTTAGATTGTTTTTGTTTTTTCGGTGATCATATATTTCTCCAATGCTGTGAGCTGAATCAGAATTGCAGTTTGCAACCATATGGATTATATTTACGTGTTAGGGAAAATAAGAAACCCCACAATAAGTTTGGCTTAGAAGAATCTGGCTGGTTTGTTTCTTTGTGTATATTTTACTTATGTGCTCTTTTGTTATGGTAACCTCACTAATGATTTAAGGGCACCTGTGAAGTGCTCTGTTTTGGCCCGAAAAGGGGTGTGTGTGTGTGTGTGTGTGTGTGTGTGTGTGTGTGTGTATCTAGGACTTTCGGCAGGAAATAGTATTGGAGTAGTCCAGTTCTCAGCTAGTTGGCTTTGATGAACAGTGCTAAACAATTGCTTGCTCTCATGTTAGGGAGAGCTTGGTTGCTGAATGTAGAGGTTGTCTTATCTGTGCAGGGAAATAAGGTTAACCAGAGCGTTTATTGTCTGTTTGGCTAGAATTGCACTTTGGCCTTTATAAACAGAGTTTACCTAGATAATAATTTCCTAGATACTAATAATTTTCATCACTCATTTATTGGTATGTAGAACAAAGAGTCTGGAACTTCCTATCTGAAATTATAATGCATTTTTATATTCAAGAAAATAAATGAAAGTGTTTATAATAGTTTTGTATCCTGATTACAGTGGTGGTAATAAGAATCTACAGGTGTGATAAGATGACATAAAACTATACACACAGATTATACCAATATCAATTCCTTGGTTTTGATATTGTACTATAATTACATAATATGTAATCTTGGGAGAAACTGAATGAAGGGTACATGGGATCTCTCTATAATGTTCTTTGCAAATTTCTCTAAATCTATAACTATTTCCAATAAAAAGTTTAAGAACATTTATAACATAAGGATGATATGTACATATCTGCTTTAAAATAATAGTCATTTTGTATTTGTTTCACATGCAACTTAAGTTTTTAATTTTTTTCTTACTATTATTATTTGAGTTTGTTTATCTCTAATTCTCAGAAGTTAGGTAGAAGAGCCAACAGATCTAGAAATGCATGTCGTCATGTCATATTCGTCTGTACACTTACCCTTAGTTATTGCCATAACAGCTGAGTGACATAATGACAAAGTCATCAGATTTTCAGTCATTGGAATTTAGTTATGATTGCTAACATTCACTGATAACATTTTCCATTTTTAATCTCAGATAACTAGAGGTGGGATGTTTGGTTTTCCTCATCTTCGGTTGTCTTCTAGCAAGCTGATACCATCAATATCTGTTAACCTTTTGTTGTGGGTCACTTCCCACATAGATTACTTTGATAGACTCATTGCCCTTTATGACTCATTAATTGTTTTCAAGACAGTGTAAATTAGAGTTTGAGTTCTTTCAGCTGTGTAATGTATTCCTCATCTGGATTATGCCTGGGAGCTTTGAATTTGGTCACGAGCTAAGATTGATGAAGTTAATATTTGTAATTAATAAGAAAATTACATACATGTATTGGTTTAAAGCTTACTTGGCAAAGAATTAAGTTACTTGGCAACTTAAGCAGTGACTTATACCTAGGAGACAAGTGATAAACTATAGGCGTTAGGTATATGCAAAACATAAAACTTGAATTTGGACTTAAAGGCAACACCAATTGACAAGAAAATGATTACACAGATGCTTATAAAATTGTTATTGGAATACCTCTGATCCATTTTATTAATAAACTACCAAATTTTGGAAATTACTAGTCTGTGATAATTTAGAAATAATGAATACAGTGTGCATAATCTCCACTGTTTCAAATGTTCTGAGAATACATATATAGTACTTAGTGGATCAACAGAAATAGAAAGTTGCCATTAATTTTTCCCTCTGTTTCTCAGCATTCTTCCACAAAAAGGATTCTGTCTCTCTCACTCTCTCTCCTACACACACAGACAGACACGTCCCCAGTCACTGACATCTCAGCTAAACAGGAAATTATCGAAGGGAAAATATTTTAAGGAGCCTCTAAGAAAATGATTTATGATCGCTAGCATTTTGGTACTTAGCTCATGCCCAATGTACCCAGTATGGAGATTCCAACCAGAATGTTTAAAGGTACTTTTATTTTATTATTTTATTTTATTTTATTTTATTTTTTATTTTATATTTTACTTTTAAAGTTGCTGAAAGATTTCTACTTTACCAATTATGCTGTCTGTGGAATAAATTCTGATTCCCTTTTTTCTCACAAACTTTGAATTGAAAGCCCAGAGCTTTAGATCCACATCTGCCTACTGGAAAACTTTCAGCAGCAAATGACTTTGTAATTTAACTACCCAGAAGCAAATAAATAGCCTCCCTTTGACAATGAAATGGAACAAGCTTGCCCACCTTTATTAGCAGATTTCTCACTGAACTATTGGATTTCATGGCGCTTTTCCCTTTGTCCTGGTGATAGCTATTATTTATTATCATATAAACCTGCTGTCTGCAGGGTGTGTGAAACTGCACTATATTTTTTTGCCATTTAAGTGTCCAGTGAATTGCCTCCTGCATCCTTGTTCTTATCAATATCCTACTATGCAGGTTGTGATGCTACATTTTAACACCACCAGGGTTTTAAAGCAAAAATGCTGCAAATAATCTAGGTTAGCAATAGCAACCTGGAGTGAACATGAAACCTTCCAAGTGAATCACTTTATTTAGCTAACATAGTCCAAGTGTGCATATGAAAAATTCAACCATTTTGTCAACAAATAGGAATTAAAAAATAAATCATCCACTAAGAGGTAATTGATTATTAATGTTAATAGTGTATAACCATTAACACGGACTAACATTTTCTGTATACTTGCTGTTCTGCCAAAAAGGGTTTTCAGGGATCAAAGGATATGTTTCTTTTAAGAGAGCAGGTTTAGTATATTTTAGTAATACATAGTGGTTAAGAGCATAGGTTTGGAGGGAGAGAAACTTTGGCCTTAAATACTGGCTCAGATACCACCTGGGTATATGACCTTGATTGAGTTATTTAAATATCTCTGAAAGCGTCTAATAATAATAACAATACCTAAGTTACAGGGCTGCTGTGAGAATTAACTTTTAAAAATACACAAAGAATTTAGCATAGTGCTTAGATTATACCAAAACTCAATAAATGTTAGTTTTTCGTAAATGTTGTTTTGCATTACATTCACATTTGTTGCTGCACATTCCATAATATGTGCTTTAAGTGTTGTGTTATTACAAAACAGTTTCTTGAAAAATATAATAAGTAGTATCAATCAATAAACATTTTTATTGCCTGCTAAGTGCCAGACACTTTACTGGGTGTTAGAGATTGAATTAAGCGTCTTCCTTATTCTGAACTTTTAATATTTAACTTATCTCCTTGGATTGCTACAGCTCTGGATTGAGAATATTGGTTGTTATTATTCTTGCCAACCCTAAGTTATTTAGAAGAAAGTCATTGGCTAAAGAACGTGTCTCTGTACGCTTAAAAAGAAGAGATCTGAGAAATCCAGCTAACAATAGCTTAACCTTGTAGTTATTTATTTCACTTATTAATAAGACAGCCATAGATAAGCAGTGTTAGGCAAATGCTTTGGCGTAACATCAAAAATCAAGGCTGCTCTGCCATTCTATATGAGTGGCTTTCATCCATACATATTCTATATTGTTTTTAAAGCTCTAGCTATTACATCCCCATTTTAGTCAGGACTTAAAACCTATGTAATTTTATTAACCGATATCACCCCAATAAATTCAATAAAAATAAGAAAGAGAGAAAGAAAGAAAGAAAGAAAGAAAGAAAGAAAGAAAGAAAGAAAGAAAGGAAAGAAAGAAGAAAGAAAGAAAGAAAGAAAGAAAGAAAGAAAGAAAGAAAGAAAGAAGAAAGAAAAAGAAAGAAAGAAGAAAGAAAGAAAGAAAGAAAGAAAGAAAGAAAGAAAGAAAGAAAGAA